CTCAAGAGTGCAAATTTTGCAGTCTTTTTCAATAGTGGCAGTATTTTAACTCTTTCGGAGTGAAATTTTACTCCAAGAAATTTAAAAAGTATAAAACATGATGTTAAAGTTACGAGATTAAATAAAGAAAAAATTACACAAAAAGATTAGGATAATATTGAATGATTTTTAGTTATTTTTATGAATCACTTTACATATTATATATCGCCATTTACTGCTCTGATGGCAGCTGCTACAGATCGTCACGTCGAGCAGAATCGCTATACGTGCGCCAGCTTCTTCATCTAATCCTCTTTGAATGGCACTATACGAAACGAGACAAAACCTCTCGCTTCTTTGTTCCGGCACGTTGTTCTCGCACAACGAGCGGGAGTTACAACGTTGTAACCGCAGGACACGCCAGGTGCACCTACACGTGCGCAGCAGTACGGTGCATCCGCTTCACGGGTCGTAGGTCATAACTTTGCAAGCGAGGCATCGCGAACTACACGTCGCAGTGCCCATATCCGTGTGCGCGGCGATTTTTGGTCCCGATGTTTTATCGACAACCCTGTCCGTTATTTATTATTCCCCCGTTATTGATCAACGCGAATCACCGTGGCACCCTTGTAAAACTCGGTCGCGGAATATGGAAACGCTCGTCGCGACGATGACAAATTATTTTGGTACAAAACGGTTGCGCTTTACTGTAAACTGCATCAGGTTAATCAAGATATACAACGAGTGACACAATTGCAGAATTTATACAAAAAAAATTCTATAATATTAACTGACAACGACAATCTCACGCGGAGAAAATGGTTTTACTGAAGTGTCTAAAAATTTAGCCATAGATACAGATTTGAAAATAATTTTGTTGCACCATCAAAATAATTATGTAAAAATTTCAAACATGATGTTGAGGAATGTAAAAAATTTTGATATTCTAGCAACCTGTTTGAGCATTCTATATAATTATTTTAAAGGCCCAACAAAATTATTTTCAGATTTATATCTGCTAAATTTTTAGATCCTTCAGCAAAGTCATTCTTTTCGTACAGAAATATATTTAGTAGTAGTTCAAACAAAACGAGAAAAGTTTAAAGTTCATGATATGGTGCATTTAGTCGATAATTGTGAAGATCGATTTTGTGAACCGATAACGTGGTACTGATATTTTGAATATTGACCATTATCGGAACGCATTTCATTATTTGACATCTTGGATAATATCACTGTCTCTTTCTCTCTCTTTCTTTCTCTCTCTCAATAGCGCGAACAATACCATTTGATTTCCAATAATAATCTTGCGACGCTTGCAAATGGAATAGGGAATGAGAATTTTTCCAGTTATGAAAAATTCTCATTTCCCGTCGGTCTATTTCCAGAACTGTTTCCTGATCGTGACCTTTTATATTCGATTACGATTGAATTAGTACACGCGCGTGTCAATGTTTCATTCACGAACTGTTCCGATACGCGGGTCGCAAAGTATGATGCTTTTGTCATCGCGTTGCGAAAGCGCAAACGACAGTTAATCGGTTTTCGATGAAATACAATTCGTTAACTTGATACGAATTACGCTGGCACACCTGAAGAGAAATCACGCTGACGCTTGCATGCGCATCTTCACGAGCGTTGGACCATTACTCGTATCGATTGCACACGCCTATCTGTTATTAAATGGATCGGGATGGTACGTCGAAACAAATTGATTTGTCGTTAATAACCCAACAGAAAAGGAAAAAAATAATATGTCACAACTGATATCGACGTTTAAAATTTTTTTTTCTATGAAATATAAATGTATAATATATATGGAAATATATTACCTAAATTTAAATTATATTTATGACTGAACAGTGAATATTAAAAATTAATTAAACCTTATTATTATATATCTCAAATAAATGATTTAAGAAGCGTTTTATATTAATACAGATTCATTATTATTTAAAATTTAGAAAATTTTGTGTAAATTGTAAAAATAAAAAATATCACATTTTCTTCTTCTTTATCATGAATTCGTGCAGTATAAAAATTATTCACTTTTCTTCTTACGTCATCTTCAGATAATACACTGAAAATATATTTCCGAATACCAAAGAGAGGATATTTAATACGAATAACTATGAATGTAATTAATCATCTGTGGAATCTAACAATAAAGTCGAATATAATTAATCATCTGTGGAATCTAACATAAAAGCCAAAAGCCTCTTTTAGACCATTGTAATTGTTTAACTGAGAAGCACGTACCTTTTTAGCTGCCACATACGAGTGCTTGGAATACAAATGTTGCCTGGAACCACTTATAAAGAGTACTAATATCCAACGAGGTCAAAAGCCTCAGCATTCATATCCCGGATTAGGTAGTTACTCCTTCATAAATAAACTACAGTTACTACATAACGCGAATGCAGCTTGCAAATACATATAGTATAACGTAATGGAATTCTTTATCTTTCTTTCTTTACATAAATCCTTGTAATACGTGTTTCTCTCTCTCTCTCTCTCTCTCTCTCTCTCTCTCTCGTACGCTTTTGATATTATAATCTTCTTTGAGAATACCTGTATTTTTCAATTGTTAATATTGTTAATATAAAAACGTTTAAATTTTAATGTCAAGAAATAGAACACGTAACAAACAAATAATAAACTGCTTTCTTATTTATAAAATGAGAGATTGGTTTATATAATGTTTATAAAATAAAAAACGAATTTATATGGTTTTTCTATTATAATTATAATTGTGTGTGTGTGTGTGTGAGTGTTTTTGTAATTCTCTCCTCTAGTATATTACAATGCTTTAATTTATATAATTTTACTTTAAGCACTACTAAAAATAGAATTTTCCAAGGAATAATATAAAAATTCAGAAAGATTCAGTAGAGAAATCGACTCGTTTCAACGACGAACTTTACGCACAAAATTCAAACCTTATTCAAATGTGTTCAGCTCTCATGCATGGGTTAACTGCTGAAGTTCACATAGTTCCGCAAAAAGAAATGAAATATAATATTATACAATTTCTGAATATATTTTTTGAGTTCTATGCGTAACTATGCCAATTTATGCAACTCAAAGTACATAAAAAGTATAAAATAACTTTTAATATTCCTAGAGATACTTTGAACTTTAGGACCCCCCCCCTTCGTATTTTTATTATATTATATTTGTGTTGATATAGCGGATGCGGTAGCATTGCTCTGCAGCTGAATTTTTTATTAAATATTTCATCTAAATTTTATTAAATTTTTCATCTAAAACAAGTTTTTTCTAAAGACAAATAGAAGTGGATTACCAGTTAAAAAACGTATGTGTTTACTCTATGTCATATTCTATGTGGGTATGTATATATACATGTATATAAATTACAATAAAAATTTAAAAATTTATTACAATATGCAAAAAGTTCTCTAAATTCAAACAAAATTTCATTTCCACAAAATTCAATAAAAAATATTAATATAATATTGAAGCACTATTTTATTCTACAATTAGGGAACGTATATGAGTATTATAAAAACAACACTAAAGATATTATAATATTTTAATAAACGGATACCTTCGTGGAATTCCCGACATGGTCATTATATGGCTACTATGAATATCGACAGTAATTAGCGACCAATCTAACGCTAATATCGGCGAAATGACCGTCGTTGGTGTGCGCAAACACACCGTAACATTTCATTCGCAAAACATACTCTGCCGGAACTGATCCTTGTGCAAAACAACCTGGATAAAGGACCAGATCATACAAGCTCGCCTATTCCAATCCTCCGCATACTACAAATTAATCTGTGATCTGTGTCTTAGCTGCAGATCAAATACAAACTCGCAAGCTTATCTAGTTCCGTGACTAACAATCGATAACTAAGTAGACGCTCGCGGCATCCGTCGAAATCTACCATTTGCCTCGATAACGTCAACACTGACGTTCGATATAATGAATATCCGACGCATTGTCTGATATGCATCTCGCGATTCTAACAATAAGATAAACTCGTCAAATCGTTTCAATAATAACAAAAACGAGTCACGGAATACAAGATTATGAGAACATTTAAAGATCTTATATAAAAAAATTTTGGCATTTTAGTGATGTTTATATTTGTTTATATATATATTATATATATAAACAATATATATAAATACCAATATAAATTTATTAATATATTGATATATGTTCTTAAAAATATACAGGGTATATCTGAAATAATGCCCACTAATCATATAAAGCTATTCCTAATAAAAGACTGAGTCGAAAAGTCCTCTACCATTTTGCCTCTTACATTTTACTCAATAACATAAGATGTATTGTGAAAGGAGTGTATTATTTTTGCAGAATACGATAAGTAATTTAGTAATTTCAATTTAGTAATTTCGTAAATTCGTAAATTTAGTAATTTTAATTTAAACTTGTAAAAGAATAATATAATTCATATTTGGTTAAATACGTATACTGTCGATCGTGAAATTTATAAGTTTATCTTATATGTATATTGTAACATAAAAAAGCCTCAAACAATATGGTTATAGTCTCAAATAATTAAGGTGTGTGTGTATATATATATATATAGTTAAAAACTACAACCATACTGCTATAGTTTACAGAAATAAAACATTATGTATATTCCACGTAAGTGCAAGTTAAATGGAGCAACCACATTTATCGTTAAGTTGTGTAAGAAGAATATATTTCTTTAATTTTATAAATTGACTCACGAAATTGCATTCTCCTCTTGTTGCAAATAGTTTCCGACCTAAAAACAGAAATAATCCTTATTAATTCTTATTCCTTCAAAGGTCTGACTGACTCAAAATCTTAGAAATATAATATTAATATATACGAAAACGAGAAAAGACAAGTTACTCAATTATTTTCGTTTAATCGCAATTCCAAGCCAGTAAAATGTTTTAAGCTTTATTCAGCTTAAAACCGCTTAACGACTTTTACGATTCATTTGTGGACATGCTAATTTCTAACGCCGACATTTATGTTATATGTCACGCAGGTACGTTCACTCGCGATCAGAGAGTTTTGAGCGGTAGTCCTGTTCAGGGGAGTCGCAACGTCAGCGGCGTGCCGGCTTTCGAAACAAATGTGCCACGGAATGTCACTACCGCAGTCAGTCAGACCGCCTTTCTTCACTGCAGAGTTCATCAGCTGGGCGACAAGGAGGTGAGTGACAACAGTAATTTCAGTATTTTACGACCCTCTTCTTCTTGAAACTAACTCACTAATTACGTTAACAAATCCGCGTCCAACAGCATTATGAAAAAGATTTGCTCGTGCACACATTGTCTTCATCTTATAATTCAAATAGGATATAAACGAAAATTTAAATGCGCGTTCACCATAATATCAAATCTGCTTGCTAAACTTTGCTTACAATATTTGAGGTAGATAAATATATAATTAACATTTAATTTTAAAATTACTCTTGTAACTCGATGATTTGTGGTGAATGTACAAATTGCTACAAATAAATTGCTGTGACGTGAAAGGAACCAAGCAACATTATTAATTATTCAGTGTCAGAGCAGTAGACGTCAAACCCAGTATTATTTCATCGAATAAATTAAGATTTCATTAATTTTCATATGAAAAAAGATATTATCTTATTATTTTGAGCGTTAAACTGATATATTTATTGAGCTCATTAGCGGTACATTATACGTTTACCGAGACACAAAATTAAAAAGCTTATTTGATCTCGAGGGTTCATAAATTTTCTTGTTGCGATTTTCAAATAGAGCTAGATATTAGGGAGAAAAAAGAATTTTTCAATATTCTCGTCGTGTCAAAGGTAGAACGGAGGCCGCTGTTGCGGTTACGGTTGCTTCATCGTTTTTCAAAATCCTCAATCCCGGGCATACCTCCATGTCAAGGCTATATAGATCCTAGTAGAGCTGCTGGGTTAACATTACCGCAAGGCTGGCCTGCGGTTTCTGGTTAGGTCGTTGATAGAATATGCATGACGCCTGTTTGAAGAGTTAAACCTGCTCAAAGGTGGGTGGAGGGCTGCTATTATCTTTTCGGATTTTTGACTGAGACTGCGGATTTGACTGACACTTAATTAAAATTGAAAAATTTGTCGTGCTTTATCGTGCATTATCTTTGTGCCCGTGCTTGTGGTCTATTATCTGAGCATTACGTTCAATTACTCGCGCGCATACAACAACTGTTAAACAACTTACAAACTTTTAATAAAAGAAGTACGTGGTTTGTTCAAAAATAGCAAACTAATAGAATACATTATGCAACGTATATCATACAAATTTTAACATAATTCTCCTGTGTACCTTATTAAGGCTTAATATTTAATCAAGACGTTCAATCTTCTAGTTACCTGGAGCAGGAGTTTCCGCAGCATGTAAAGATTTGATATTTCGTGAAGTTTCCGCCAATGCCTGGTTCACTAAGTATATATATGTACTTCCGGGAATATATCGACATTATCTGCATAACAAGAGTCAATATTGCGTAATTCAATAAATACCAATGGTGGCTGTGCGCGCCAAGGTATTTCTCCAAGTTTCGGATAATATTATTCAGATAATTTTATTGCGTTAACTACTACGACCTTAAAATATTCAAACACAGAAACACTGATCAGTTGATCATAATAATTCATTACAATAATGGCAATTAATCGTATAATTATTGTATCTTTCCATAAAACTTTGCTTTGATTCGAGGATACTTTTTTTTCTTGTATAGCTGAACTGTTGCGAAACGTACTTACTTAATTGTGGGAACGAACAACTGGTTTGATCGTTAACGATGCAATTATTTACCGCCATTTACTCAATAACGTGAATTCCAGTTATTTCCGGAAGAAGGGGAGGAGACGAGGGATATTCGATCACGCATCACCGATAACTTGCAAACGCCATGACCGTGTTTTCATTCCGATAATTACTAACTAACTACGACGGAGCAATGATGAGCTTTGCACAAGTTATGCACGAAGTTGTTAAAATGTAATATAATTTTCCATTTAGGTCGCTGTCCAACATAAGTCGTTGCGAAAGTATATTAATTAAGGATTCCTTTTGAACTAATGATGCTTGAGTCGAAGAAGTATTCTTTTCTAAACAAAAGCACTATGAACACTATGAGAGATAAGGAAATGACATTATATTACATTTCACTGTACTGGTGCACTGAGAAGTATTATGCATCGGAATGGTAGCTGCTGCTTTTTCAAGAGAGAAACTGTTACTCTACGAGCACAAAGCATCAGACAACTAACTTGCTGCTCGCGCGAGCTTTTCGTTTTATGACCAGATACACAGCGTTCTTATTAGAGAGGAGCAATTGCATACGGATTACGTATCTAACGAAGACCAACTACGAAAATTCACGCAAATTCCTCGACGGTGTGTTGATTCAAGTTGATTTTAAAGGAAAGACGAAAAGGAGTTTGTTATTGCATAATGCAGAAAAACATTCAAATATTTCCATAATGCTACTAATTGGATTGTAGTAAATACTATATGCAAAAATTGCAGTTTACTTCTTTTGCGACTAGATCTTTTATCACGTCATCTTGATACATACGAACACATTTCCGAGTAATTAACTTAATGCTGTAATTAACTGTAAACTACCAGATTTACAATAACCATGTTTTTATGATATAATAAAAAAAATTGACGATTGAAAATAAAATAAAAAATAAAGATTAATTTTTCATCTCATAATATAATTAATAAAAGAAGAACATTTTTTTCGAAGAAGAACATTATATTTAAAGCTAAATATATAATACTGTAACTCTCTCATAAAAATAATGCAAAACTGCAATTTTATTATTCATTTTCCTAAATAGATTTCTGTTTCCCAAATTGATTTTATAAATATATGACATCACGAAACTTCTGTGGAGAAAGCTGAGCAACAAAATGTAAAGGCACAGCGTCGCAATTCATTGAGAAAGTCAGCGGTTTGACTTGCAGAAAGTAGACAGCGTGTATAGAGTTATCGCAAGACAAATGTTTGGACAAAGCTAACTGACGTGAGACATTTACGTCGGTCTTTTTGCCGACCTAGCAAAACTGTTTACAACATATCCAAGGCTGGAAACTCGCGTAGATTCCCTTTCTCAACATTAATGTGTTGTTTATATAATGTACATTTAAAATGCGAATATTTATTAAACGTGCTGTCGGATATCTTGCGAACAGGCCGATTATTTATTTGAAAATTCACATATTATAATAATGTTATTTAAACCCAAATATACAATCTCAAGATTAAATATGTGTGTGTGTTTAAGAATCTCTTTCATTACATTACGTCTTACGATATCAAAATTAAATATTTAAGGAAAATTTTGAAGAAAGAATTTTAAGAAACTAAAGCTTAGTTAAACAAGTTATGTTACCCGAAATCCATTGGTGACGTCAATGGAATCAGATGAGATCGATTTCGATCAACACCGGAAACATTGTGGTGCTTTTCCCTTCCTGTATTATTTCATTATAAATACAACTAAATTAGAATTATATTTGTTACGGAAGGTTAAAACGTAAACATTTGTAACATGCAGAAATTATTTTATAACTAACAATTTTATAATTCTTAAATCTTTTTATGTTTATAAATTTTATTCATTTTTCGTAACTATAACAAATATAATTCTAATTTAGTTGTATCTATAGTGAGATAATACAGGAAGGGAAGAGCACTACAATGTTTCCGGTGTTGATCGAAATCGATCTCATTTGATTCTATCGACGTCACCAATGCATTTCGAAAGCTTGCAAGTGGTATTTACGTTAATACATTGCGTTTCAGTGTTTCAATAACAACTCGAAATCGGGATATTAATTATATTTGCATACGCACCAAAAGCAACTTGATACCACCATATGCGGATTATACAGGGTGTCCATTCGTAAAATGAAAACGCAACATTTGCATTGCTAATTTTGTACATGGAACTATATAACGTGTCAATTAACTCAAAATAATAAGAAAAAGTCTCAAAAGGAAAAGTCAATATGTTGTTTATCTACAACGTTCTTTATCATTATATGCTTTACGATATATACGAGAAAATTAAGATTAAATATATATCTATGTAAAAATCAATTTCACTAATCTTCTAAAAGTTATTAAATAAATTTCGTTACACAGCTTTTTCTAACAGCTTTTGTTATCTTGAATGAATAGGATTATGAAGAACGTGATCGTTGTATCAAACTAACAAACCCTGTTCACTCTACAATCTGCTACAAAAATATTTTCCAATACACTGAGAAACTCATTTAGTTGAAGCAATTAATTTTTTATTTGGATATAGGCAAACAAATCCTTGGTTGATGCAATAAAATAATTTAGTTGAAGCAAAAAACGTTTGTTTATTATAACATTTTACTTTTTCTGATAAACAAGTTTATCAAATGTCAATGTAAAAACAAGTAAAATGATTTGTGCTTCAACTAAATTATTTTATCGTATCAATCAAGAATTTGTGTTGCCCATATCCAAAGAGACAATAAGAAATTAATTGATTCAACTAAATGGATTTCTCAATATAGTGATAGCCGGTATGAATTGTATTTATTCGAAAAGTGTTTTAATTTAAGAACTTTCATCTTTACTTCTTGCCAAGGATCTCTAAAAGTCTTTGAAATTTATATTACCTATATAATCCAGTCGTGTAAACGACCCTTTCACCCGAATCGATTTACTCGAGAGAAGATGAATTCGAATGACTGCCGGATTCCGCTTCGGAATTCCGTACGATGAAGTTATTCCAGCAAGACGTTACTGTATCCAGAACGGCGGAAAAAAGCAGCTCGGTAATTCGATCGGGGAAAAGCCTGCGGCTCTACTCCCAGCTTGAATAAGTATCGCGCCAGGGAGCGGAAGTGTCGTTCATCCCCCGTTTTCTAGTCTGAATTCTACTGAAGATTTACGTACTTTGCGAACAAGGAGGAAGGACTGGATTCCGATCAGCGCTGTTATGCTGCCTTGTTTGAGTAAAAAAAGCAGGACTCTCGCATCTCCTGGATTCCATCAAAATCAGGAAATCTCTGAAAGATCCGATATCGAGCCTTATCTCTTTTTTCGTTGTCCTCCAAACGAGGATCTAATATGTTTTTGATAGTCCATCAAGCGCCCCGCTCGAAATTTTGTTACTGTGGGTTGCGCGATGATTCATTTTG